TATGCGTATATGTGTATGTGAATATACGTATATATGTGTATATGTATAATATATTTTTTATATTTTTTTTAAATTAAAAAAAATATTTGCGACGGATTTTTCTGTCGCAAATCCGTAGTAAACATAGATTTTTTTTGTTTTTTTAAAAATATTAAAAAAGATATTTGCGACAGATTTTTCTGTCGCAATTCTATCGCAAAACTCGGATTTTGTCCGTCGCAACTTTGCGACAGATTAACGACCGGCAAACTTTTACGACAACAATATACTGACAGAAATGATTATGTCGCAATCTGTTGCAAATTTGTAATTGCGACAGATATTCTTTTGTATTTGCGACAGATTTTTCTGTCGCAAATTTTGATGTTTCTTGTAGTGTGTATAGCCGATGCCGTTTTTTGATTTTTTTTATATATACAAGCTTATAGTTAATTTAAAATTTTAACAAAAAATTATCAGTTATTTGTAAATTAGTGAAAATTTATAATTTATTTGGATAAAAAAATACGATATAACATCTCTCTATAGCATATTAGATAATTAAGATTAATGTAGAGTATATATAATATGAGGAATTAAAAATATTGCGTATTTTATTCCACGTGTATATTCAAAACCACAATGTATCAATCAATAAAGCATAATGTTGGTTTATTATTCAACCCATATAGTTGGTCATTAATTGGAATATCAATGTAAGAAATACATCATTTTTATTTTTAAATGCATGATGTTCAAGTATTAAATGACGTTTTCATAACTAATTTTAGTTCGAAATGGTTCGAATCCATTTTTAAAATGTTTACAAGGGATTAAAACGTATAAATAAAATTTTCAAAATATATATGTATAAAAACATTATATATATATATGTATATGTGATTTATTAATTTAAGTTTTTATTGCACATGTAATTTCTGCGTAATTATAATAATTTAAATATTTTTATTTAGGAAATTCCTAAAAAAATCATCTAATTTAGAGATAATTAACACATTCATCACGAACTTTTACATATTCATATTGAATTTGTAATTTTTTTCTAAAAAATCATTCACAATTTGAATTTTAACAAATTCCTCATTGGTGCTAGGGGTGGCCAATTCGGGTTTCTATTCGGGTTCGGTTCGGTTATATTCGTGTTCGGTTATTTCAGTTATAGAAAAATTATAACCATTCGGTTTTTATATAAAGTTCGATTCGATTCGGTTATTTTTCGATTCGGATTCGGTTCGATTTTGGTAAAAAGTTTAATTTTTCTCTCTGTTATTTTTTATTCGGTTCAATTCGATTTCAGTTTCGATTTTTCGGATTTAAGGAAATCATAACCATTCGGTTTCGATTCGGATACGGTTATGTCTTATTCTGTTCAGTTCGACTCGGTTATTCGGTTCATAACCGAAATGGCCACCCCTAATTGGCGGTGAATTAAATTTGACACGTAGACATAAAACACTTATGTTGCGTTTACGTGGCATATACTAACTCGCTACGTAGGATTCACGTCATATTAATACTAAAAATTATAAAAAAAAATTAAAAAATTGTAAAAAATTGTAAAAATTGAAATTTGCAAAATTTTCAAAAATTGTAAAAATTGTGAAAACATTGTAAAAAACTGTAAAAAATGTAAAGAAATTGTAAAAACATTGTAAAAAATTGTAAAAAATTGTATAAAAATTATATATAAATATAATTGGTGGGATTATATATATGAAAGGAATGGCAATTGAAAAACTGATTTCATAAAAAAAAGTTGTAAATATCGGGATAAAGTAGAGATTTTTAAATCGGTTTTCAAAATTTTTACAATTTCTTTATAATTTTTACAATTCTTACAATTTGTTTACAAATTTTTTACAATTTTTTCAAATTTTTACAATTTTATATTTTTATATTTTTTTATATATTTTTACATTTTATACTATTAATATGACGTGTATCCTACTTGACGAGTTAGTACATGCTACATAGGTAACACATAAGCATTTTATGTCTACGTGTCAAACTTAATTCAGTACCAATGAAAGATTTATTAAAATTAAAATTTTGAATGATTTTTTAGAAAAAAATTCAAATTCAATGAAATCGACGGTTTTAAAAAGTTCATGATGAATTTGTTAGTTATCGGATGATTTTTTTGGGAATTTAACTTTGTATTTTAACCAAAAGCATTTCAATTCATTATATTATATTAATTGGAAGTCCGTTGCGTTGCTATGTTGCATGTAAGGCCTTTTATTTTAAACGAAGTTACAATTTCGCCCTTTATTTTTATACGACGTTGTCCAACCCTCGAATCTGCTTCCAAGTGACGCATGTACCACAATTTTAATTGTTTTCGACATTTTTTTAGCTCTTCATATTCGATTATACGAAGAAACTGGGATTTTTTTTTCCCAATGTAAGGAAGCTAATGTAACGGAGAAATTTTCGAGTGGCTGTGGAGCTCGAGTCTCGATAGGGGCGATATGAGATCACATGCGACGCGTCTAGGATAAGGTTGTGGCAAATATTTAGATCGACGGTTATTGTGTTGCCACGTCAGTACGTGTCCGTAATGTGTTCTCCGGTCGCCTCTGTTGACCTTCTATCTACCGTCTGATTCCATCAATTTTGTGCTATACTTTGTATCGGAGAGTTTCTTCCATTCTCTTATTTACGCTAAGCTTTTAATTTTTTGTCCTTGGGTTTAATTTCATTTATTGCTATTATGTGTTAAAAATCCAGTAATCATGAATTTATTAAAATATTTGGATCTCTCCAATACAATGCTCCGAAAGGATTTTCAAAATTTGATATCAGAAGTAGATTTCGTACACGGTTTTAACAAGGAATGTCCAAAACATCCAACTACAAACCATTACACCATATTGGTTTCAAACAGTTTCAGCCTCTTTGAACATATTATTTTGATTGGGTGGCCTAGTGGTGAGAGAACATGCAAAACATGCTCTCATTCTGGGTTCAAATCCAAACGTTGGGAGGGGCATTCACATAGGCTTCCCCGCTCCTCTGGGAGATGTAGTCGGACCAAAGATCCGGTGAACTTCCGGATTATAAAAAAAAACATATTATTTTGATTCACTTGTTTATTTGTGTATCCAAATATTACATAACCATGTCGTTGTTCGAGGAAGAAAGTAATCGGCTTCACGCGTCACGCCGTCGGGTGGTAGGAGAAGCCATTGATGGTGAGACCTCCATCAACACAAACAGTTTGACCAGTTATGTAAGAAGCCGCCGGCATACACAGGAACGCCACGAGCGATGAAACCTCCTTCGCCTCTCCAAGACGGCCTAATGGAGTTCTCGAGACCACAGTCTCCGTGAATTCTTCGTAACCGAGAAACTACATATTAATTTTCAGAAAGAGATTTAATTAGTGGAGGAAAACAAAGATTAGTGTAGTGCAGGGAAGTGTGTTTTGGTTACTGTTTCAGTCATAGGAGTTTCAACGACACCAGGAGCGACCGAATTTGTCCTTATGTTGTCCCTTGCCCACTCGCATGCTAGATTTTTTGCCAACTGGTTCATGGCTCCTGTATTCACGTGGTTACAATATTACATTTTCATACATACATACATACATACTAGGGCGCGATCTCTTGGTCTGTTTTATTTATTTTAATAGCAATAAATTCGTTGGTTGGAGTACCTTTTGTTGCACCATAGATGGATCCGAGAATGCATGACACAACGCCGCCGATAGAAGAGTTGAAGACGATGCTTCCATAGCCCGAAGCCTTCAAGAGAGGGTGAGCGAGCTGGCATAGATGGTAAGCCGACTCGAAATTCATAGCCATCTGAAACGAGAAATCTTCTGCCGTCATTTCTACCGTCGGCTTTGCAACACATATGCCAACGTTGTTTATCTACATCAAGAAAGGGGAAACCTTGGCCAAATGTTTTTAAACAAATAACATATTTGTAGAAATCATCCTAGTTAGTGTGTGAGACGACACTTGCGAGAATGTTGAGTTTGCCACCGAATAGAGAGGAGACGGTCTGCATCAGCTTCTCTCTTGCGGGCCGAGAAGATACATCACAGAGTGAGCCACTTACTTGAAGGCCCTTCTCTTCCCATTCGCGTAAACTTTGGTTTAGATGAGCTTCGGACTTGTCGCACATGTGGACTATTGCCCCTAACCCAGCTAGTTCCTCCACTATGGCATGTCTGTACGTAAGAACATTTTTGAAATGTTTTCCGGTCACGTAAAAGACAGATGATCTATCTAAAATATGTGGATATTAACTATAACCATGAAAACAACATTTAAAAAAAAAAGCTGTAATTGTGTTGAACATTGCAGGATTTTAACTAAAAGCAGAACACTGTACAATATGATTAAGAAACGAATAAATTAAAGAAGGACGAACCCTAGCCCTCTTGCTCCACCAGTGACAAGAGCAGTCTTGCCTTGAAGGCTCCACCTTGGCTCCATGTCTGTACGTAGAGTATGATTATGCAGTTAACTTTAGGCCAAATAGATCCGAACTAGGGGCTCCTAAACGGACAATGCCTTCACGCGATGAGAACGTCGTCTTTAAATAACAATGTTTCAAGACAAACTAAGGCGAAGTAAAGGTCAAAGAAAGTGGGCTCGATTAGAGTGATGTAACAACAAAGAAAGCTGTAAGAATAGACGTGAAATGAGAGATTCCAATGAATTTTGTATCAATGCATTTAACACATTTTTTTTTTCTAAACGCAGCTCAATATTGGATAAAATAATTAGGAAAGGGAAAAAAATTACGTACTAACTTCAAGTGGAAGGGGAATTCACATGGGTTAACCCGTTACTCTGGAAAATGTAGTTGGGCCAAAAGTCCGGTGAACCTCCGGATTACCAAAAAAAAAGTTGCATGAGTTCTCTTACAACAAAAACGAAAATGAAACATGTTGCATGAGTTCACATGAGATGGCGTGCAACAAAAAAAAAAATAAAAGTAAAACATGTTGCGTGAACTTCATGATGTGCGAACTGCTTCCTCTAGAGAAAACTGTTTTAAAAAAAATGAAAAATTTTAAATTACACAACTATATGATTTTATATTTATCAACATGCCTAGTCAGTCTTTCTTTTTTTCACCGACCAAATGTTAAATAATGACTAGGTATTTAAACATTTAAATTTGTTTTAAATTGTAACACAAACAATCCCAACAAGAGTAGTATATTTATATGGCAAGCAGGCCTCTTTTTTTTTTTTGTTTCGCAACATGGCTTAGTCATATAATTATTATATTTTTATTTAAATGTTAATGATATTTATATATTTTTTGCCTTGAACCCCTCCATGCACTTTTATTTGGAGTGGTCATCACCAAAGGCAGGCATACCTATTTGTATAGTAATATGGGGTCATAGGTCACAAATGTGCAAATATTTTTTTTTTAGTTTTTTTTATTAATTTTATAAAATCTTAAATAAAATTGTATAATGCCCCATAATAAAATATTTTATAATAAAATTATTGTCCTCGTTTACAATTTTGTTTTTGGTCCGCCTCTCGTCATCACTGCTTAATCAAGATTAACAATGACCCTTAATCAAATTATTGAACCTTCCAAGTTCCATGGTAGGTACCAGAGAAACTCCTTACTTCCAAGATAAGGTACTCATCATGTGCTTAATCAAGATTAACAATGACCCTTAGTCAAATTATTGATTCCACTTTTATTTTTCTCCATATTTTCCATTAGTAAATGCATCGACTGCTCTTGAGAGATTTCTATAATTGATCGTAGATCAAAATATCAACTATAGGAATATAAAATTTTCCTTTTTATACAAGTCCTTGTTTTACTTTAGTTTAATCATTGTTTTACTTTAAGATCTTAAGCAAATAACGCAATATATATACATCGGGTCGCCTGAGTTTTTCGTTCTTTTTATTTTTAAGTTGAGTAAAAAAATATGAATTTTTTTCTGAATAAACAAAATTAAAGACGAGTAAAGATAAAAAAAAAAAGTATGCCGACAAGAGATGTAATGACAAAGAAGGCTAATGTACGCTACAGTGTGGACAAAGGGGAAATGAATAATAATAATAAAAAGTCTAAAATCCTTAAAAAAATCTCCAAGTAAAAATATATATAAAAAATTTTCAACTTGAAAAGTTGTTATTCAATTTCTAAACTTGTAACATATAAAACCTCCGATATGCAAATTGTTATTCTAATAAATCTTTGACCGGTTTGACCACAATATCAGGCGACCGGAAATCTATGTATTGACGGATTATTGATGTCAGCTTATATACATCAATAATTTTAATTTAAAAAATGACACATCAGCTAAAATCAACAATCCGTCAATACATGGATTTCCGATCGCCTGAAATTGTAATCAAACTGGTCAAAGATTTATTAGAGTAACAATTTGTATATTCGAGGTTTTATTCAGTGACATGTTATAAGTTTGGAGATTGAATGACAACTTTTCAAGTTGAAAATTTATTTGTATATATTTTTGCAATTTTTTTTTTTACAAGTTAGAGATTTTTTTAGGGTTTTACGCATAAAAAAAAGACGGATGATGGTCGTACACCAAATAAACTTCTATTATACACACTAAAATAAATTGATATTTAACAGATTGTTTTCTAAATAAATAAGACAGGCATATCAATGCAGCTTCGTGATCCATATATATATATACACACTAAAATAAATTCATATTTTGTGGTATCGTTTTCAGTATTAAAAATGATCAATTTAAAAATATAAATACGTGGGTCCTCCTTTATAGAATATCGTTTATAGACACAAGGTTCGAGAAAAATATATTTTTAAAAAATTCTATTAGTACAACTTTAAACATGAAGTTTATAGTTACAATTCTCAACATCACTAGTTTGTTAGATGTTAAAGGCTGACTTTTAATTAAATAACGTGTTTTAAATGTAGAATGCCAAAAGAAGTCTATTTTAAATGACTAGCTGAGTTTTTATGACTAATCATTTAATTGGAAGTACTTTTATTAGTATTTTAAAAAATTATACTTATAACAAATATTTTTTAAATTTTATGATTAATTATGTCAACCCTACTCGAATACACACCGGAAGGATCATTGTAACTTTCGTACAAAAATAATGATAATGTTAGGAATGTTCCGCATGTGAACTACAAATAGATAGGATATATAATGATAGGAGAATATACAAAGTATGATCTTATCTATGGTTCAAATCAAAACGGACTTCTCCGGTGATGTGGAAGGTTTAGTTGGGTGAAATTCTTCGTGATCTTCCAATTATATAAAAAAAAAGAGATGGAATGTAAATACATCTGAAGCTTCTACATAATCAGGTCGTCCAGATTTTTACAGCTTTCATATTGTGATATTGTATTTTTTAAAAATTTAAATAAAATTATTAAATGTCTTCGTTTGTAAAATTGGGCCTTCCACTATAAAATTAAATTTAAATTTGTCTCCCATTATAAAATTTTCGGGTTCGCTGCTGCTCTATTAGTAGATCATTAAATTGTTTAGGTATACGAGTAGAACATATGTACCAGAAACGACGTATAGATCAACGTGTTTTTCTGGACACTTACTGTATGTTTTTTTCTGAATATTCGGAGACGGGTGATGGTTTAGGATTTATTTCGGTGCCAAAAAAATATAAAATATTTTGTCCAAACCTCCTTGTTTTAAACTATATATTGTCCATCGAATTTAGATGGAAATTGCATATACATGTACGTATGTGTGTGTATATATATATGTATATCTGTGTGTAGTGTAAGCATGTGTGTATATATATTGTCCCACCACAGCAGAGTTGGAACACTCGCATTACAATATCCAGATGGCGTCTCAGGTTGTTCCCTTCTCTCTCTGTTCGCTTTGTTGTTTCTTCCTCCAAATTCCATCTTCCGACCAATTTTTTTTTTTAAAACAAATCTTTGTGATTACAGATGATGTTGGTGGAAGAGAAGTCAGATGTCAGAATCCTCACTCTGAACAGACCGAAGCAGTTGAATGCCCTCACTTCTCCCATGGTCTCTCAACTATGATCTGTCTTCATCTTCCTCTTTTTTTTTTTTTTTTTTTTTTTTTTTTTTTTGATGTGCCGATTTTTTTCTTACCATCTATGGTTGTTTCACTGTTTGTGTCCGGAGATTTCTCGGCTGCTGGAACTGTTCCTTTCATATGAGGAGGACCCTAATGTAAAGCTCATCATCCTCAAGGTAATCCATCCGTCTCTCTGTGTATTGAAGTTGGTCTCTCATACTTTTTTTTTAAAAAAATTAGATATTAATTGTTTCCATGATTGCAGGGACAAGGGAGAGCATTTTGTGCTGGTGGCGATGTTATAGCTTGTGTCAACGATATAAGACGAGGTATACATATATGTATATGTATGTATATGTTAGTCTCCTTGCTGAGTAATTACATGCCAGTACCCACAAGTTAGGGACTTTCTTTCTATGGAAATGTATATAGGTTGCTGGAGGCTAGCTGCCGATTTCATGTACAAGGAATATGCACTCGATTACGTTATGGCAACATATGGCAAACCACAGGTCGGCATGCGTGTTCTTATTTTATAAAATGTGATCCAAGTTGCTTTGATAATTTAGTGATTTAAGAACTATTTGTAGGTCTCGATTATGGACGGCATCGTCATGGGAGGTGGTGCTGGCATCTCCGTACATGGTAGATTCCGGATTGCTACAGAGAACACGGTATCATTTTTATACTTCTAAGCTTCTATTGTAATGGAGAATATATATGTATATACACCTCTTGATGAGTTCTTTCAAGGTCTTTGCAATGCCCGAGGCAGCTCTCGGACACTTTGCAGATGTAGGTGCGTCCTACTTCTTGTCAAGGCTCCCTGGCTTTTTTGGTAATACATGGACAAGTTTTTCATTTTTTTGCAAGTTCTTTAATTAACCATAGAATGGATAATCACTTTGTTCCCATATTGTCGTCTTGTCTAGGGGAATATCTCGGCCTCGCAGGGGCAAGGCTGGATGGCGCCGAAATGCTTGCCTCTGGTCTTGGTACTCACTTTGTCCCTTCCATGGTATGGTTTTTTTTTTTGTTTTTGTCCTACTTTAAATTCTCGTACGTAGACGTAAGCGAGTATGGTGTTGTATAATTCATTTAAATTAGAATCGTTGGCTATATAAAACTCTTACAATATCGTAGAGGGTCAATTTTATAATGATGACATGATTAACAAGGATGAAATAAAACTAATTAATCGAATTCAAAGTGTAAAAAATGTTACCACAAAAAAATTATCAGAGAAAGAGTCACGAGTTGGCTTCATATCAGTAACGAATTATCGATTATTCTCGTCCATTTAACTTGGCCATTATAATTAATATGAATCCACAAGGCCAGAAGTTATCTATTCAAATAGCTAGTAAAGTCCAAGCTGTGTCCAAATTATTATTTGGACATTCCTCTGATGAACCAATCTTAATTTGACTCTTGAACTAATTCAATTATACATTTGTGTATTGCCATGCACCATATTATGCCTGCTCTGCATGTACGTAAATTCGGATGATTGGCATATGTTATGCTTACATACGATCTTCCTCTGTAACCACAGAGATCGAAAGAGTTAATAGAAGATCTTTGCGGGTCCGGAGCGAGTGATGCCGCCTCGATCTCAAAGATTATCGACACATATACTCAGCAGCCTCATCTCAAAGAGTCGAGCGCTTATCACAGGTAAGTCGTGAACGTTACAGCCCATTATATAATCCATATAGCTTAGAAAAATATCGGTGTGTGTCCTTAATCACATGTTCCAACCCTAATCAGATGTCTAATGCATATTGAATAATGTTGTAAAGTCAGGAAAAGAACAAATGGTACAGACTGTGCTAACATTTCCATGGTTTCCCTAACAGGATGGATGTTATTGACAAGTGCTTCTCGAAGAATACGGTCGAAGAAATTATATTTGCACTTGTAACCTTCTCCCTTTGCAACTCATATGCTTATAACATTTCCTTTGATAACAAGCCAACAACATAATGTTCTGTAGGAGAGGGAGATCGCTCATAAAACCGACGATTGGGTCTCGAAAACAATTTCGTCAATGAAGAAGGCTTCCCCGACTAGCCTTAAGATCACTCTTAGATCGGTAAGGATCTCACCGCCACGGCTTGAGTCCGAATCAGACAGGAATTTATCCGTCTCATATCGAACCCGACAATGTGTGTAATTACAGATAAGAGAAGGGCGAGCGCTTGGGATTGGGCAGTGCCTTATCCGTGAGTTTAGGATAACATCTCATGTGTTTAAGGGAGATATAAGCAAGGATCTTGTCGAGGTTTGCCACCTTTCCTACTTATATTATCTTGGTTTTTTAATTAACTGTATCCAGTGATTAAAAACCCTCGCATGCATGCATGCATGCAGGGTTGCAGAGCTATATTGACAGACAAGGATAATAGCCCTAAGGTAAGTAAAAGAGACACCTCTCGAGCTTATGTCCATTTATATATACACACGCATATACATTCATACGTATATACATATGTACAGTGGAAGCCGTCGAGACTGGAAGACGTGAGAGAGGCAATGGTAGATCAATACTTCGAGCGATTGGAAGATGATGGATGGCAGGATATAGAGTTTCCAACGAGACCTTATAACTTGCATCCTCCCAAAATCTCAAATTTGTGAAATTAAGACATCCTCCCAAAAAAAAAAAACAATGGAATTATCATTACGTACGTTTGTGTCTTCAAACTTTGAATTGCCTTTACTTTTCAAATGCCATGGCTTTTGCGGGATAGCAAAACAGTTATTTGTACGTTGCCATGCATTGATGTTGCAACATTTATGTGATGAAAGGCCATATATAGCTTTTATTTTGAATTTTGAATTTTGAAATTTTGGTTTTTGTAATGTTTGTAAATCCAAAAAATTGAGTTTTTGGTTTTTAGTTGATTTTTCACTAAAGCATTTTTTCAAAATTAAATTTTTTTTTTTTACAAAATCTTAATTATCATTTTTTTTCTTAGTTAGAAATAGGTTAAGAAATAGTAAATGTAATCTCAAAAGTATTCAATGTGTCGTGAAAACAAAATATTTCATCTCTGTCTTAAATAACTAATAATAATATAGATTTAGCTTACAATCAAATTTCTATTTTTTGTAATCTAAATTTTATAAAAAAAAATAATTTCGGAGATACGAATTTTTACAATGATAATATTCCTTATTAAACATGTTACATGTTAACTTGTATTTTTTCATTTTCCCGTCTTCCATGTTTCCACCCATTCACGAAAACATTTATCGGATGCCAAAAATTTGACAAAAACATTGTGTGGAAATCGCAAATATAATACTGTCGAACGAGAGAAATTTTCCATCTCCATTCACGAAATTTTTTAATTTGATAAACTATATATATTACTTGTAGTAAATCAATCTTACACAGTAAAATATTTTCAGACCAAGTTAGTTTTTTTTTTCTTCTCTCGTTTCTCCATTTCTATTAAAAAAAAATTGGATGAACAAAAGCTGCAACTATTTAATGTCCCTTTTTATAGGATTATTAAAAGACCTAGTTCTTTGGACAAATATTATTAATAATTTTATTGCTTTAGTTCTCTATTAGATTTTCATCTATCAAATAGTCAATTTAATATCCAAGTGTGAAATCCCATTACATGGACCGCATATTAATAATATTAATTCTAACAATGAATATTATTTAAATATGTGGAAATTTAATGCATGGTGTTAAACCCGCATGCCATGGCTTTGTAAATGTTCCCTTTCGGCCCAAACGCTCAGAATTGAATAAAAATCAAAGAGAGTGAGTGGTTTAGGAAGGCCCTGAACTCCGGCTCACTCTCTCTCTCTTTACTAAAAAAAAAATCCCACCAAAATAAGTATTACATATAACATAAATTTCCAAAAAAAATGCAAATTACATAAATATATAAATATTCAATTTGAAAAATGAAAATTACAAAAAAAATGCAAATTACATAAATGCAAATCACATCAAATTCATGTTATTATCAAATCATTTTTTATTTTTAGATTATAATCATTTATATTAATATTTTTCACAATATGAAAATTTTTTAAATATTTGTACAGGGCCCCAAATATTTTTGAGACGGCCCCGTGTACATGTACATCCATATACGTATACGAGCAGTTTTAAAATATTTATTTTTACATAAGTTTCAAAATACAAATATATTATACAGAGTCGAGCAATAAGTTTATACGATACACACTATTAATTATTATCTTTTCTTTAATATTTATTTAATATATTTAGTTTTACATATGAGTAGCCAATGGAGTAATTTTATAGGTTCCCCACGTACGGGTTATTACTATTCATGCCACGGGTTATTATTCATGCCATGTCACAATTTGGAGATTAATGGAGGATGTGAGTTAGGTATAGGTGGAAGCTTGAGATCCTCCCAACCATCATCCTCCAATCTCTGGAAGTATTTCTCCACCATTCTCTCTGTAACGTCCTCCAGTCTCGACGGCTCCCACTGTTACATAATGGCGTTTCTATATCAATAATCTTGATTAAGGAATTAATTACGCAAGTCTCTTTATTTACCTTTGGGTTATTATCTTTTTCTATCAATATAGCCCTGCAGCCCTGCATGCATGATTAGGGTTTTTATTATTATTCGATAGTTGTTAATAAAGATATGGTTTCAAATGGGGGATCATATATTCTATGGATTGGTGGGGCGAACCTCGATAAGATCCTTGCTTATATCTCCCTTAATCACCTGAGATGTTATCCTAAACTCACGGATAAGGCACTGCCCAATCCCAAGCGCCCGCCCTTCTCTTATCTGCAATTGCACGCATTGTCGGGTGCGGTATGAGAAGAACAGATTCCTGTCTGATTCGGATTCAAGACGTGGTGGCGAGATCCTTACCGATCTAAGAGTGATCTTAAGGCTAATCGGGGAAGCCTTCTTCATTGACAAAATTGTTCTCGAGACCCAATCGTCGGTTTTATGAGCGATCTCCCTCTCCTACAGAACACATGTTGCTGGCTTGTTATCAAAGGAAATGTTATAAGCATTTGAGGTGCTACGTATTATTGACAAAGGGGAGAAGCTTACAAGTGCAAATATAATTTCTTCGACGGTGTTCCTCGAGAAGCACTTGTCAATAACATCCAACCTGTTAGGGAAATTAACCATGGAAATGTTAGCATAGTCTGTACCACTCGTTCTTTTCCTGACCTTACAGCATTATTCAATATGCATTAAACATATCTAATTAGGGTTGGAGGATGTGATTAAGGGCTATAATTATATGGACTGACACACAACTATAAACCGATAATTTTCTAAGCTATACGTGATTATATAACGGACTGACGTTCAAGACTTACCTGTGATAAGCGCTCGAATCTTTCAGATGGGGCTGCTGAGTATATGTGTCGATAATCTTCGAGATCGAGGCGGCATCGCTTGCTCCGGACCCACATAGATCTTCTGTTAACTCTTTCAATCTCTGTGGTTACAGAGGAAGATCATATGTAAGCAAAACATATGCAAATCATTCGAATTTACGTACATGCAGAGCAGGCATAATATGGTGCATGGCAATACACAAATGTAAATGAGTTATACAAAACCATATTCGCGCACATCTACATACGAGAATTAAAAGTCGGACAAAAAAAAAAAAAAAAAAAACCAAACCATGGAAGGAATTTACGTACATGCAGAGCAGGCATAATATGGTGCATGGCAATACACAAATGTAAATGAGTTATACAAAACCATATTCGCGCACATCTACATACGAGAATTAAAAGTCGGACAAAAAAAAAAAAAAAAAAAACCATACCATGGAAGGGACAAAATGAGTAGCAAGGCCAGAGGCAAGCATTTCGGCGCCGTCTAGCCTTGCCCCTGCGAGGCCGAGATATTCCCCTAGACAAGACGACAACATGAGAACGAAACGATTATCCATTCTATGGTTTAATTAAAGAACTGCAAAAAAAATGAAAATGAAAATGAAAATGGAAAAACTTGTCTACATATGTATTACCAAAAAAACCAGGGAGCCTTGACAAGAAGTAGGATGCACCTACATCTGCAAAGTGTCCGAGAGCTGCCTCGGGCATGGCAAAGACCTTGAAAGAACTCATCATCAAAAGGTGTAAATAAATATATATATATATATATATTCTCCATTACAATAGAAGCTTAGAAGGATAAAAAATGATACCGTGTTCTCTGTTGCAATCCGGAATCTACCATGTATGGAGATGCCAGCACCACCTCCCATGACGATGCCGTCCATAATCGAAACCTACAAATTAATTCTCAATCACTAAATTTTCAAAGCAGCATGGATCACATTTTATAAAATAAGAACACGCATTCCGACCTGCGGTTTGGGAGACGTTGCGATAACATAATCGAGTACATATTGCTTGTACATGAAATCGGTAGCTAGCCTCCAGCAACCTATATATTCCCATAGAAAGAAAGTCCCTAACTTGGCGGAGAAGAAAATGGGTAATGGCATGTAATAACTCAGCAATGAGACTAACATAGTAACATATACATATATATATCTATATGTATACCTCGTCTTATATCGTTGACACAGGATATAACATCGCCACCAGCACAAAACGCCCTCCCTTGTCCCTGCAAGCATGGAAACAATTAATATCTAATTGTTTTTTTAAAAAAAGAAGGTATGAGAGACCGACTTCAATATATATAGAGAGAGATGAATTATACCTTGAGGATGATGAGCTTTACATTAGGGTTTTTCTGATATGAAAGGAACAGTTCCAGCAGCCGAGAAATCTCCGGACAGAAGAAACAGTGAAACAACCATAGATGGTAAGAAAAAAAATCAGCACATCCAAAAAACAAAAACAAGAGGAAGACAGATCATAGGTGTGAGACCATGGGAGAAGTGAGGACATTCAACTGCTTGGGTCTGTTCAGAGTGAGGATTCTGACAACTGACTTCTCTTCCACCAACACCTGCAATCACAAAGATCAAATTTTCTTTTGGTCGGAAGATGGAACTTGGAGGAAGAAACAACAAAGCGAACAGAGAGAGAAGGGAATTACCACCTGAGACGCCATCTGGATATTGTAATGCGAGTGTTCCAACTCTGCTGTGGTGGGGACAATATATACACACACACGCTTACACTACACACAGATATACATATATATATACACACACATACGTACATGTATATGCAATTTCCATCTAAATTCGACGGACAATATATAGTTTAAAACAAGGAGGTTTAGATCAAAAAAAATTTTGGCACCGAATAAATCCTAAACCATCACCCGTCTCCGAATATCCGAAAAAAACATACAGTAAGGGTCCAGAAAAACACGTTTGAATTTAATTTAATGATCTATTAATAGAGCAGCAGCGAACCCGAAATTTTATAATGGGAGACAAATTTAAATTTAATTTTATTGTGGAATGCCCCATTTTACAGAGACATTTAATAATTTTATTTAAAATCTTAAAAAATACAATATCACAATATAGAAGTGGTAAGAATATATGTGGACAACCTGATTATCTTGAAACTTCTGGTGTATTTACGCTATTTATTTATTTTATAATTTAAAAAATTATAGTACTTTTGAACAAATTACATCTCCCAAAGAATCGGAAAACTTCGTTTGGATTTGAACCCGATACAAAAGAATACTTTGCATGGTCTCCTACCACTACATTCTATCTATTTTTAGTTCACATGCGTAACATTCCTAACATTGTTAATATTTTTGTTTGAAAGTTACAATGATTCTTCCCGTGTGTATTCGAATAGGGGTTGTGAGTTGACATAATTAATCATAAAATTTCGTTATAAATATAATATTTTTTTAAATATTAATAAAAGTACTTCCAATTAAATGATTAGTCATAAAAACACAGCTAGTCATTTAAAATAAGACTCTCCTGGCGTTTTACATTTAAAACACGTTTAAGTATTTCATTAAAAAGTCAGTCTTTAACATTTAACTAACTAGTGATGTTGTTCAAACCAAAAAAAAAAAAAAAAAAAACAGGGGATGTTGAGAAGTTGTAACTATAAACTCTTCATGTTTAAAGTTGTACTAATGGAATTTAAAAAAAATATATTTTTCTCGAACCTTGTATATATAAAACGGTATTCTATAAAGGAGGACCCACGTATTTATATTTTAAAATTGATAATTTTTTTTATTGAAAACGACACCATAAAATATGAATTTATTTTAGTGTGTGTATATATATAATAGATATGCATGTCTTAATTATTTAGAAAACAGTGTTAAATATCAATTTATTTTAGTGTGTATAATAGGAGTTTATTTGGTACGACCATCTCTCCGTCTTTCTTTATTATTCATCCCCTCTTTGTCCGCACTGTCATTAGCCTTCTTTGTTATTACATCTCTGGTCGGCATACTTTCTTTGACCTTTACTCGTCTTTTATTTTGTTTATTCAGAAAATATTCATATTTTACTCAACTTAAAAATAAAAAGAATGAAAAATTCTAGCCACCCGATGTATTTTGCGTTATTTGCTCAAGATCTTAAAGGAAAAGAATGATTAAATCAAGAAAAACAAGGATTTTGTATAAAAAAGAAAATTTTATGTGCGTATAGTTTGTAACGATCCGAGATCGCTACCCAATGTCAAACCTATCATCGCACACCATAGAGATCTTTTAGCGTATTTTGTCTTCACTCGCATACATCCCGGAAAATACTTCTAAGGAGGTCACTCATCCTAAGACTATTCCAAAATGAACACGCTTAACTTTGGAGTTTTCTCGATAATTAATCGAAAATGTAGATGTATCTTGTATTAGTATTACGGGAGCAAAGATCAAGGGAAATCTTTTTCAAATTAATTCAAATTGATTTGTTAAATGTAATCTTTCTGTAACTAACTCCTATAGAGCTATATATTATCTCTTGTACATCTTTGCTAATGAATAAGTTCAAATTCTACAAACCTAAACACTATCATGGTATCAGACCTCTAATTGTTGAAAGACACTTTAGCCATTTTCTTCGTTTTTTTTCACCGCCGTCAAGCTTTTTCGCCGCAGTCATGTCTTCTGCGAACACGTCCTCCGACTCTGCTGCAATCCCGAGTGACACAGTCACTCCCTATTCCGCTGATGGACCTCTACTTAACGTCAACACCTCCAACGTTACAAAGCTCACTCCGATCAATTACCTCACGTGGAGTATACAACTCTGCGCTCTTCTCCAAGGCTACACACTACAAAAAAAAATGGTCATTTCCAACGGGTAAATCCGTTGGAAATGGCCAAATTTCCGTTGGAAATTAACGTTTCCAACGGATTTATCCGTTGGAATTTCGTCGTTAGAAATCGGTGTCCGTTGGAAAATCGTTGGAATTTTAAACGGAATTTCAACGAATTTTTCCGTTGGAATTTTCCAACGGATTTCCAACCGGCATCCGTTGGAAAATTCCAACGGATTTCCAACCGCAATTTCGGTTGGAAAATTCCAACGGAATTTCCAACCGATATCCGTTGGAATTTTCCAACG